CATCATCCCATCATCCCCATCATCCCCATCGTCTCCATCATCCACATCACCCCCCTCATCCCCATCATCTCCATCACACCCATCATATCCATCATCCATCATCCCCCCTTTATCCCCATCACCCCCAACATCCACATCACCCCCCATCATCCCCATCATCCCCATCAAATCCATCATCTCCATCATCTCCATCATCCCCATTACACCCATCATCCCCATCACCCCCTTCATCCCCATCATCTCCATCATCCCCATCACACCAATCATTTCCATCATCTCCATCACCCCCTTCATCCCCATCACCCTCTTCATCCCCATCACCCCTATCATCCCTTATCAGTTTTTTTCGGGTTATTAATACTTAATAGTGACTTCCGGCAGAAAAGTAATTTTGCTGATTTAAACACTGTCATTCTTATATTACATAAAAAACAATAAACGACTTTTTTTTGGTTTGTAGTTATCCAGTGAAATTATAATCTCTGCATATTAAGAACACTTTGTGTTTGTTTTACCTATGTCAAGAAGTGACACAAGTAGTTATATTGCGATACTGTTTGTAGGCACTTTTCTTTATTTAGATAAAAAAGGTAATAAAAACTGCACATTATAAATCAATCAAATCTATATACCTACCATGTAAGTATATAAAAATGTTAAGATGACTTGTATACCTATTTCATTACATTCAATTTAATAATTTTTTTTTTAATTTTTAATTATGAGCACCAATTTCTAAAGTAAAACAATAATAATGTTAAATATTATCTATATATATAAAATATAATTGATTATTTATATTTTTTTTATATAAGTAGTATGTATTGTGTGCCTATAACTACTTGGGAAGTTGCTTACTTTAGATACTTAAGTATAGAGTTGGTACAGCATTTTGAGCAATTCGTGTACTAGAAGAACGGTAAAAATCATTAAATTGTAAAAATTTTATGTAATTTTAAATCATTGCTCTTAATATAATGTAGGAGTTATAACTTTAATTTCTTATATATTGTGAAATGTATTAAGAATTAGAATATATTTTAATTAAGGAATTAATTGTTGTTTTTTATTTTTTATTTTTTTGAAAAAAAAAAAAAAACCTAATAAAACTTCAAAGTAAACTGAAATGACGGAGGTATATCAAATGTCCTTATATACCAATTTTCCTTATAAATCAATTTTCCCTATATACCATTTTTTTATATGCCAAATGTGCCATCCAAATATAACAAATATGCCATCACCGTCACCATCTCCATCATCTCCATCATCCCCATCACCCCAATCATCCACATCTCCTCCATCATCCCCATCATCCCCATCACCCCCGTCATCCCCATCATCTCCATCACCCCCATTACCCCCTTCATCCCCATCATCTCCACCATCTCCATAATCCCCATCATCTCCATGAGCCCCTTCATCCCCATCACCCCCATCATCTCCATCATCTCCATCATCTCCGTAATCCCCATCATCCACATCACCCCCATTACCCTCTTTATCCCCATCAACCCCATCATCCCTATCATCCCCATCACCCCCATCATATCCATCATCCCCATCATCCCCATCATCCCCATCGTCCCCATAATCCCTATCACCGCCATCATCTCCATCATCTCCATCACCCCCTTCACCCCCATCACCCCAATCATCCACATCATCTCCATCATCCATCATCACCCCATCATCCCCATCATCCCATCATCCCCCATCAACCCCATCATCCCCATCACCCCCATCATCCTCATCACACACACATTCCCCTCATCCCCATCATCATCAACCCCATCATCCCCATCACCCTAATCATCCACATCTCCTCCATTATCCCCATCATCCCCATCACCCCCATCTTCCCTACACCCCCATCATCCCAATCATCTCCATCATCTCCATCATCCCCATCATCTCCATAATCCCCATCAGCCCTATCACCCCCTTCATTCCCATCATCTCCATCATCCCCATCAGCCCCTTCATCCACGTCATCCCCATCATCCCCATCACCCCCTTCATCCCCATCATCTCCACCATCTCCATAATCCCCATCATCTCCATGAGCCCCTTCATCCCCATCACCCCCATCATCTCCATCATCTCCATCATCTCCGTAATCCCCATCATCCACATCACACCCCATCACCCCCCCCTTTACCCCCATATCCCCATCAACCCCATCATCCCTATCATCCCCATCACCCCCATCATATCCATCATCCCCATCATCCCCTTTATCCCCATCACCCCCAACATCCCCATCACCGCCATCACCCCCATTATCCCTATCATCCCCATCATCCCCATCACCCCCGTCATCCCCATCATCTCCATCACCCCCATTACCCCCTTCATCCCCATCATCTCCATCATCTCCATCATCCCCATCATCCACATCACCCACATTACCCTCTTTATCCCCATCAACCCCATCATCCCTATCATCCCCATCACCCCCATCATATCCATCATCCCCATCATCCCCATCATCCCCTTTATCCACATCACCCCCAACATCCCCATCACCGCCATCACCCCCATTATCCCTATCATCTCCATCATCTCCATCATCCCCATCGTCCCCATAATCCCTATCACCGCCATCATCTCCATCATCTCCATCACCCCAATCATCCACATCATCTCCATCATCTCCATCATCCACATCACCCCCATCATCCCCATCACTCCATCATCTCCATCATCTCCATCATCCCCATCACATCCATCATCCTCATCACACACACATTCCCCTCATCCCCATCATCATCAACCCCATCATTCCCATCACCCTAATCATCCACATCTCCTCCATTATCCCCATCATCCCCATCACCCCCATCTTCCCTACACCCCCATCAACCCAATCATCTCCATCATCTCCATCATCCCCATCATCTCCATAATCCCCATCAGCCCTATCACCCCCTTCATTCCCATCATCTCCATCATCCCCATCAGCCCCTTCATCCACGTCATCCCCATCATCCCCATCACCCCCTTCATCCCCATCACCCCCATCATCCCCATCATATCCATCATCCCCATGATCTCCATTATCTCCATCACCCTCTCAATCCTCATCACCCCCATCATCTCCATCATCCCCATCACCCCCATCATCTTCATCATCTCCATCATCCACATCATCCCCATCGTCTCCATCATCCACATCGCCCCCCTCATCCCCATCATCTCCATCACCTCCATCATTTCGATCATCTCCGTCATCTCCATCATCCCCATCACACCCATCATCTCCTTCACCCCCTTCACCCCCTTCATCCCATCACCCCCATCATCCCCATCATCCCTATCATCTCCATCATCTCCATCACCCCCTTCACCCCCATCACCCATATCATCCCCATCATCTCCATCATCTCCATCACCCTCTTAATCCCCATCACCCCCTTCATCCCCATCATCTCCATCATCCCCATCACACCAATCATTTCCATCATCTCCATCACCCCCTTCATCCCCATCACCCCTATCATCCCTTATCAGTTTTTTTCGGGTTATTAATACTTAATAGTGACTTCCGGCAGAAAAGTAATTTTTACTGATTTAAACAATGTCATTCTTATATTACATAAAAAACAATAAACGACTTTTTTTTTGGTTTGTAGTTATCCAGTGAAATTATAATCTCTGCATATTTAGAACACTTTGTGTTTGTTTTACCTATGTCAAGAAGTGACACAAGTAGTTATATTGCGATACTGTTTGTAGGCACTTTTCTTTATTTAGATAAAAAAGGTAATAAAGACTGCACATTATAAATCGATCAAATCTATATACCTACCATGTAAGTATATAAAAATGTTAAGATGACTTGTATACCTATTTCATTATATTCAATTTAATAATTTTTTTTTTTTTTTAATTTTTAATTATGAGCACCAATTTCTAAAGTAAAACAATAATAATGTTAAATACATATTATCTATATATATAAAATATAATTGATTATTTATATTCTTTTTATATAAGTAGTATGTATTGTGTGCCTATAACTACTTGGGAAGTTGCTTACTTTAGATACTTAAGTATAGAGTTGGTACAGCATTTTGAGCAATTCGTGTACTAGAAGAACGGTAAAAATCATTAAATTGTAAAAATTTTATGTAATTTTAAATCATTGCTCTTAATATAATGTAGGAGTTATAACTTTAATTTCTTATATATTGTGAAATGTATTAAGAATTAGAATATATTTTAATTAAGGAATTAATTGTTGTTTTTTCATTTTTTTATTTGTTGAAAAAAAAAAAAACCTAATAAACCTTCAAAGTAAACTGAAATGACGGAGGTATACCAAATGTCCTTATATACCAATTTTATAAAATCAAAGGTCCTTATATACCAATTTTCCCTATATACCATGTTTTTTTTATGCCAAATGTGCCATCCAAATATAACAAATATGCCATTACCGTCATCTCTCCATCATCCCCCATCATCCCCATCATCCCCCATCATCCCATCCCATCATCCCCATCATCATCTCGATCATCTCCATCATCTCCATCATCCCCATCACACCCCATCATCATCCTTCACCCCCTTCACCCCCTTCATCCCATCACCCCCATCATCCCCATCATCCCTATCATCTCCATCATCTCCATCAACTCAATCATCCCCATAATCCCCATCACCCCCATAATCTCCATCATCTCCATCACCCCCTTCACCCCCATCACCCCAATCATCCCCATCATCTCCATCATCTCCATCACCCTCTTCACCCCATCACCCCCATCATCTCCATCATCTCCATCAGCCCCTTCATCCCCATCATCCCTATCATCTCCATCATCTCCATCATCATCATCATCCCCATCAAATCCATCATCTCCATCATCTCCATAATCCCCATTACAACCATCATCCCCATCATCCCCTTCATCACCATCATCTCCATCATCCCCATCAGCCCTATCACCTCCATCATCCCCATCACCCCCTTCATCCCCATCACCCCCCCATCCACACATCATCCACCTCATCCCCATCATCTCCATCATCCCCATCATCATCATCCCATCATCATCATCCCCATCATCCATCATCACTCATCATCCCCATCATCCCCATCATCATCATCCCCATCACCCCCATCATCCCCATCATCCCATCATCATCCATCATACCCATCATCACCCCATCATCCCCATCATCCCATCATCCCCATCATCCCATCATCCCCATCATCTCCATCATCTCCATCATCCATCCCATCATCATCATCCCATCATCCATCCCATCATCCCATCACCCCCATCATCCCCATCATCACCCCATCATCCATCCCCATCATCCCATCATCCCCATCATCCCATCATCCATCATCATCATCCCCATCATCCCCATCATCTCCATCATCTCCATCATCTCCATCATCTCCATCATCCCCATCATCACCCCCATCATCCCCATCATCATCCCCCATCCCCATCATCCCCATCATCCCCATCATCCCCATCATCCCCCCATCATCATCTCCATCATCTCCATCATCTCCATCATCCCCATCATCCCCATCATCCCCATCATCTCCATCATCTCCATCACCCCCTTCACCCCCATCACCCCCATCATCCCCATCATCTCCATCATCTCCATCATCCCCATCATCCCCATCACCCCCATCATCTCCATCATCTCCATCAGCCCCTTCATCCCCATCACCCCTATCATCTCCATCATCTCCATCATCATCATCATCCCCATCAAATCCATCATCTCCATCATCTCCATATTCCCCATTACAACCATCATCCCCATCACCCCCTTCATCACCATCATCTCCATCATCCCCATCAGCCCTTTCACCCCCTTCATTCCCATCATCTCCATCATCCCCATCACCCCCTTCCCCATCCCCCTCGTCCATCATCCCATCATCCCCATCCCCCCATCCCCATCATCCCCATCATCCCATCATCCCCATGATCTCCATTATCTCCATCACCCTCTCATCCCATCATCCTCATCACCCCCATCATCTCCATCATCCCCATCACCCCCATCATCTCATCATCATCTCCATCATCCACATCATCATCATCATCATCCCCATCATCTCCATCATCCACATCCCCATCATCCCCATCATCCATCACACATCCCCATCATCCCCATCATCCATCATCCCCATCATCCCCATCATCCCCATCATCCCCATCATCCCATCACATCCATCATCCCCACCCCCCATCCCCATCATCCCCATCATCCCCATCATCCCCATCATCCCCATCCCATCCCCCATCATCATCCCCCCATCATCCATCATCCCATCATCCCCATCATCCCCATCACCCCCTTCATCCCCATCATCTCCATCATCCCCATCACACCAATCATTTCCATCATCTCCATCACCCCCTTCATCCCATTCACCCCCATCATCCCCATCATATCCATCATCCCCATGATCTCCATTATCTCCATCACCCTCTCAATCCTCATCACCCCCATCATCTCCATCATCCCCATCATCTCCATCATCTCCATCATCCACATCATCTCCATCATCCACATCACCCCCATCATCCCCATCATCCCAATCATCTCCATCATCTCCATCATCTCCATCATCCACATCACCCCCATCATCCCCATCACCCCATCATCCCATCATCCCATCATCCCATCATCCCCATCATCTCCATCATCTCCATCATCCACATCACCCCATCATCCCCATCATCCCATCATCATCATCCCCATCATCTCCATCATCTCCATCATCCTCATCACACCCATCATCCTCATCAGACACATCATTCCCCTCATCATCAACCCCATCATCCCCATCACCCCAATCATCCACATCTCCTCCATCATCCCCATCATCCACATCACCCCCATCTTCCCTACACCCCCATCATCCCAATCATCTTCATCATCTCCATCATCCCCATCATCTCCATAATCTCCATCATCCCCATCTCCCCATTCATGCCTATCATCACCATCATCTACATCATCCACATCACCCCCATAACCCTCTTTATCACCATCAACCCCATCATCCCCAACACACCCATCATTCCCATCACTCCGTCATCCCCATCATCTCCATCATCCCCATTACCCCCTTCATCCCCATCATCTCTATCATCTCCATCATCTCCATCATCTCCATCACCCCCATCATCCCCATCACCCCCATCAACCCCTTCATCTCCATCATCTCCTTCACCCCCTTCATCCCCATCACCCCCATCATCCCCATCATCCCTATCATCTCCATCATCTCCATCATCCCCATCATCCCCATCATCCCCATCATCCCCATCATCCCCATCATCCCCATCATCCACATCACCCCCATAACCCTCTTTATCACCATCAACCCCATCATCCCCATCATCCCCATCATCCCCCCCCATCATCCCCATCATCCCCTTTATCCCCATCACCCCCATCATCCCCATCATCATCATCATCCCCATCATCCCCATATCATCTCCATCAACTTCATCATCTCCATGAGCCCCTTCATCCCCATCATCCCCCATCATCATCTCCATCTCCATCATCCCATCATCCCCATCACCCCCATAACCCTCTTTCATCACCATCAACCCCCATCATCCCTATCATCCCATCACCCCCATCATCCCCATCATCATCCCCTTCATCCCCCATCACCCCCATCATCCCCATCATATCCATCATCCCCATCATCTCCATCTCCATCTCCATCACCCACTCAATCCTCATCACCCCCATCATCTCCCATCATCCCCATCACCCCCATCATCTCATCGTCTCCATCATCCACATCACCCCCATCGTCCTCCATCATCCACATCACCCCCCTCATCCCCATCATCTCCATCACACCCATCATCCCCATCATCTTTATCATCTGCATCATCCCATCATCCATCATCCACATCATAGCCATCACACGCTTTATCCCCATCACCCCCAACATCTACATCATCCCCATCATCCCCATCACCCCCATCATGCCCATCATACCCATACACCCATCATCATCATCATCATCATCATCTCCATCATCTCGATCATCTCCATCATCTCCCATCATCCCCATCATCCCCATCATCCCCATCATCCCCATCATCCCCTTCATCCCTATCACCCCCACATCCCCATCATCCATCCCCATCATCCCCCCATCCCCATCATCCCCATCATCCCATCATCCCATCATCCCCATCATCCCATCATCCCCATCATCCCATCATCATCATCCCATCATCATCCCATCATCTCCATCACCCCCTCACCCCCATCATCCCCATCATCCCCATCATCCCCATCATCCCCATCATCTCCATCATCTCCATCAGCCCCTCATCATCCCCATCATCCCCATCATCTCCATCATCCCATCATCCCCATCATCCCCATCATCTCCATCATCCGATCATCTCCATCATCCCATCATCCCCATCACCCATCATCCATCATCACCCCCTTCATCATCCCATCATCCCCATCACCCCCATCATCCCCATCATCCCCATCATCCCCATCATCTCCATCATCTCCATCACCCCCTTCATCCCCATCACCCCCATCATCTCCATCATCTCCATCATCCCCATTACACCCATCATCCCCATCATCCCCATCACCCCCTTCATCCCCATCATCTCCATCATCCCCATCACACCAATCATTTCCATCATCTCCATCACCCCCTTCATCCCCATCACCCTCATCTCATCCCTATCACCCCTATCATCCCTTTTCAGTTTTTTTCGGGTTATTAATACTTAATAGTGACTTCCGGCAGAAAAGTAATTTTTACTGATTTAAACACTGTCATTCTTATATTACATAAAAAACAATAAACGACTTTTTTTTGGTTTGTACATAGTTATCCAGTGAAATTATAATCTCTGCATATTTAGAACACTTTGTGTTTGTTTTACCTATGTCAAGAAGTGACACAAGTAGTTATATTGCGATACTGTTTGTAGGCACTTTTCTTTATTTAGATAAAAAAGGTAATAAAGACCGCACATTATAAATCGATCAAATCTATATACCATGTAAGTATATAAAAATGTTAAGATGACTTGTATACCTATTTCATTATATTCAATTTAATCTTTTTTTTTTTTTTAATTTTTAATTATGAGCACCAATTTCTAAAGTAAAATAATAATAATGTAAAATATTATCTATATATATAAAATATAATTGATTATTTATATTTTTTTATATTAGTAGTATGTATTGTGTGCCTATAACTACTTGGGAAGTTGCTTACTTTAGATACTTAAGTATAGAGTTGGTACAGCATTTTGAGCAATTCGTGTACTAGAAGAACGGTAAAAATCATTAAATTGTAAAAATTTTATGTAATTTTAAATCATTGCTCTTAATATAATGTAGGAGTAATAACTTTAATTTCTTATATATTGTGAAATGTATTAAGAATTAGAATATATTTTAATTAAGGAATTAATTGTTGTTTTTTTTCATTTTTATTTGTTGAAAAAAAAAAAAAACTAATAAACCTTCAAAGTAAACTGAAATGACGGAGGTATACCAATTGTCCTTATATACCAATTTTCCTTATAAATCAAAGGTCTTTATATACCAATTTTCCTTATATACCAATTTTCCCTATATACCATTTTCTTATATGCCAAATGTGCCATCCAAATATAACAAATATGCCATCACCGTCACCATCTCCATCATCTCCATCATCCCCATCACCCCCATCATCCCCATCATCCCAATCATCTCGATCATCTCGATCATCTCCATCATCTCCATCATCCCCATCACACCCATCATCTCCTTCACCCCCTTCACCCCCTTCATCCCATCACCCCCATCATCCCCATCATCCCCATCATCCCTATCATCTCCATCATCTCCATCAACTCCATCATCCCCATAATCCCCATCACCCCAATCATCCCCATCATCTCCATCATCTCCATCACCCTCTTCATCCCCATCACCCCCATCATCTCCATCATCTCCATCAGCCCCTTCATCCCCATCACCCCTATCATCTCCATCATCTCCATCATCATCATCATCCCCATCAAATCCATCATCTGCATCATCTCCATAATCCCCATCAAATCCATCATCTCCATCATCTCCATAATCCCCATTACAACCATCATCCCCATCACCCCCTTCATCACCATCATCTCCATCATCCCCATCAGCCCTATCACCCCCTTCATCCCCATCATCTCCATCATCCCCATCACCCCCTTCATCCACGTCATCCCCATCACCTCCATCATCTCCATCACCCCCTCATCATCCCCCATCACCCCCTTCATCCCCATCACCCCCATCATCCCCATCATATCCATCATCCCCATGATCTCCATTATCTCCATCACCCTCTCAATCCTCATCACCCCCATCATCTCCATCATCCCCATCATCTCCATCATCTCCATCTCCATCATCCATCACCCCCATCATCACTATTATCTCCATCATCCCCATCATCCCCATCATCCACATCACCCCCATAACCCCCTTTATCCCCATCAACCCAATCATCCCTATCATCCCCATCACCCCCATCATATCCATCATCCCCATAATCCCCTTTATCCCCATCACCCCCAACATCCATATCACCCCAATCATTCCCATCATCTCCATCATCTCCATCATCCCCATCACCCTCATCATCCCAATCAACCCCATCATCCCCATCATCCCCATACACCCCATCATCCTCATCATCTCCATCATCTCCATCATCCCCATCACACCCATCATCCCCATCACCCCTGTCATCCCCATCATCCCCATCATCCCTATCATCTCCATCATCTCCATCAACTCCATCATCCCCCTAATCCCCATCACCCCCATCATCTCCATCATCCCCATCACCCCCATCATCTTCATCATCTCCATCATCCCCCTCTCACCCCCATCAACCCCGTCATCCCCATGATCTCCATTATCTCCATCACCCTCTCAATCCTCATCACCCCCATCATCTCCATCATCCCCATCACCCCCATCATCTTCATCATCTCCATCATCCACATCATCACATCATCCAACATCATCCCCATCGTCTCCATCATCCACATCAACCTCCTCATCCCCATCATCTCCATCACACCCATCATCCCCATCATCTTTATCATCTCCATCATCCACATCATCCACATTATCCCCATCATCTCCATCATCCCCATCACACCCATCATCGCCATCATCTCCATTACCCCCTTCATCCCCATTATCTCCATCATCTCCATCATCTCCATCATCCCATCACCCCCATCATCCCCCATCCCCATCACCCCCATCATCATTCCCGTCATCTCCATCATCTCCATCAGCCCCTTCATCCCCATCAGCCCCATCATCTCCATCAGCCCCTTCATCCCCATCACCCGCATCATCTCCATCATCCCCATCACCCCATCATCTCTATCATCTCCATCATCTCCATCATCCTAATCACACCCATCACCCCCATCATCCCTACATCCCCATCATCCACATTATCCCCATCACACCCTTCATCCCCATCACCCCCATCATCCCCATCATCTCCATCAGCCCCTTCATCCCCATCACCCCCATCATCTCCATCATCTTCATAATTCTCTTAATCCCCATCACCCCCATCATCTCCATCATCCCCATCACCCCCATCATCCCCATCACCCCCTTCATCCACGTCATCCCCATCACCTCCATCATCTCCATCACTCCCTTCATCCCCATCACCCCTATCATCCCCATCATCCCCATCAACCCCATCTGTCAAAAAAAAGAGAAATGTCTTCGTTTTTTTTTTTTAGATTATTTTAAGAGTGAATGTCTTGTTCATAGTTCTGTGCCTCTCCCCTTATTACATGTTTGAAAAGATATACGGCGGAAGGAACGTTTCAAGATTTTCATAAAAATCATAAAAAATATCAACTTTACACATTTGTTCAAATTATGTGTGCTACAATATTCGTTTGAGTCAGATGGAAATATTTTTATGAGTGTGTGAGGGCAACAGAAAGTAAGAATATAACCTTAACAGTTTTATTGTGAAAATATGACAACACCCGATCTTAATGTAAACGTTAGTAGAGACAAAGACATCCTGCTCCCTCAGCACCATTATGAATAAATAAACTGTTTAATAGGAATTAGATTACGATAATTAATATATAATAAAACAACGTGTGTCAACTGAAGATCGACAGAAGAATGATTTATTGAACATAGACAAATACAATAACGCTTATTGACATGATTGCCACAAGATGGCTAGTTGTATCCATATTTTGATATCCACAACACTTCCCATTAAAATATGATCTATTTTAAACTATATAAATACTTAACATGAACTTAAAGTTAAAATATATTACACTCTAACAATTCCTAAAGCATTTACATGTTTATAATGTTTTACAACACTTAAGCTTTTGGTAAATAAATCTGCAGGCATATCAGATATACACAAATAATTAATACTAACAATGTTTTTATTTATAATATCTCAGCAATAGTGATACCTGACATCCATATGTTTAGTTTTATTATGGAATACTGGGTTCAGTTATAATTTCTGAGCACTCATACTGTCATTATACGAGTACAAAATAATAGTATACATTCTACAAGTCACTTCATTTTGTAAGTTTCTCAAATACACTGCTTCTTTGCAGGCTTCTGATTTTGACACATTTTCAGCTACAGTACTAGAAAGTGAAATACATTTTTGTTTGCTACAATTCCAGGATATAACTGATCCTGACAAAATATAACAAAACCCTGAATATGATTTACTGTCATTAACATCACTGCTCCAGTCCTTATATCATTATAACATATCTTCTACCTGGCAATTTCCCAGCTATAGCCAGGGTCTGCCTATATCATTATAACATATCATTATAACATATCTTTCCTTATAACATATCCTTCAATATTATCATTTTTATTCTTACTACATTTCAAACCAAATTTTATGTTTTCTTTAAGTATATATAATATTCTTTTAGCCTAAACCCAAAGCTCTTCACTAATACAGTTATTGAATTGGATTAGGTATTAGGTAGGATCTTCAAACTGCCTATAAGTTGTTGATAAGGATTCTGATTATTTATTTATTTAGGCACACAAACAGAATATAATCCGGATTACATTTGAGTTACAGTCTAAAATTATATTTAGCTTGATTATATTCCCAAGCATGTGTACACTTCATAATCATTACAAAACCAATATTTTTGTCAGGAGCTACATTATTTAGGTACAATTTAAGACTAATGAATAAATAGGAACATATAACTTAAATTCAATTACTTAGTTGTTGATACAAAAAAAAACATTAACGGACATTACAACTTAGTTTAAATTATGACGGCGCATCCGTCAAAAATCATACGTCAGGTTGACTTTTAGCTGTCTGAGGTTAGCCTAGTGAAGCGTCATTGTGATGGTAGCGAGGGCGGCCATCTTTATTATGGAGTATCGTGCGAGATGACGCCCGCGCACCGCGCTCGTGACGAATCGCTGTGTATCGAAGTGATAGTGATATCTAGTGTTTCGATTGAGTTGGTGTCGTATTGAATAGACTGTACTTTATCCCTTTCAAAGTATGAGTTCCCATGAAGGCCCTCCTGTTCTTATAACGCCCTCCTACATCAGAAGTGGGATCGAAAGGGCTTTAAAATGAGGAGAGTAGTGATCATCCATCTATGTTAAACTTTGTAAAAAATAATGAGAAACTTGTCGATGAAAATAATGTCAACTTCTCAACTAACTTCGACGACGTAGTTGATCCGGTTCAATCTGGATCGTACGGAAGCAGATATAAGGGTTAGGACGTCTCGTCGTGTCTTGATCGTAAAAGGTACCGGTAATTGAGGCTCGCTGGTGAAGGAGATATCTGTGTGACCATGGGCCGAGCCGAGGGGAGTTGACGACGTCATCTGGTGAGACTGTTCCTTTTCTTTTTAGTAGTGGGTGTACTTGTTCATGTAGTACTAATGTGTGTCTGTATCTGAAAATTTTTCAAATAAATTTCTGTGTACTTTGAGCAATGAAGTAGTTCCCCTGAAAGGCATCTGAACGCGTAGTATACGGTCGAAGCGAACGGGCGACGATATGAGTTTCACGCTTACCCACCACTTCGTAAGATTTTAATATTAGATCGTATTAGCGAATAAAGGTCATTCAACCTTGCGCTTCGGTACTGAATACTCTAGTCATACTTCGTGTACATTAACAGTCAATTATTATTAGTGTTTCTACGTCTATAGACTTATTGTAATACACAAATTTTAAGCCCGGTCATAATTCAAAGTGTTTCAGTGTCTCTTTTGTTTCATATTATTAAAGAGAATATTATTCTTGAATCCGTGGTTGTTGGACGGTACCTTGTAGAGTGGGGGGTTAAAGGAGAGATAAACAGTGACTACATTATTTTCTCAAAACCTGAAACGACAAAAACAGATAAGTGCCCAACCTCAGACAGTCTTAACTTTTCTTGTATCAAAACTTATTTGGAAGGCGACGATAACAAAGCCCTTATCGATGTTTTTAAGAAGTATAACTCATTTTATTATTAAGGGCACCTCTTAACTCTTTAGACCCTAATTCTTTAGACCCTAACATAGTCTAAGAGAGACCTTACAAATTATAAGAGGTTGTTCGAAAAAAAAATGGATGCCCTCTTTGAAACAATCATTTTACACTTTATCAAGCCCCATTCTAATTGTAAAAAAAAAAAACCGAATGACAACTCTGACATAATGTATGTTGACTCTAGGGAGATTAACACCAATTCTTATAGTAAGCCTTTTGTTTTAGAAATTTTATACCGAACTATTTCCGCCTAGTACGATCCTTATGTCTACTCACTAAGTTAAAGGGGTTAATTAAACGGTCAGAAGTCCACGGTAATATTCGTAAATGGATAGTTCAAATACTTACCACGGAGTCTATTCTAACTATATTTGATCGCGAGCCTCCTATAGAATTACACACGAATGCCAGCGCCAACGGATACGGTACCATTTTAATTAAATGAAAGAACGGAGTTCCTCACGTTATTTCATATTTCAGTCGCCGGAAAACTGACACGGAATAAAAGTATTATTCTTATGAACTTGAGACCTCGGCAGTCGTTCGAGCGGAAGAATATTTGAAGCAAAAGCTATATGGTCATCATTTTATCGTTTTCACGGGTGGCAATCCTTTCAAAGCTTCTTAGTTAAAAAAAAAAAAAAAAAAAAAAACACCGAGAGTACAAAGATGACCCTGAGCAGGGCACTTCCAAGAGCGACAAAAGCAAGGCTCAAGTAGTTAATAAGTCTGTGCAGTTTGTAGAGGTAAATCAAGGGTGGTTAGCGGTAGAACAAAAACGTGATGCATATGTTCAAGATATTGTTGCTCAGCTCTTAAATAATAAGTTTCCCGATTCAATTAGTCACATCTACGATGTTAGAAACAATATGCTATATCGAAAAAAAATTGAGCGAAACAAAGTTAGTCGTTGGTAACCTATCGTCCATCAGTCCCTTGTATGGACTTAAATCAACCATATCCATACTGAGATAGACACGTTTAGTTTCTTGATGGAGTGCAACGCAGGCAGGTATTTTTAGGTGTTCTGGGATTTGGTCCAGTCACCTTTTGGGATTTAGTCCTCTAGTTCGGTTACCGTCCACTTTTTCAATCACTAGCGGACGTTTAAAGCTGTCCGTAGTTCTGTCAGGGAACTGACCAATCAACGCCAGTATGTGCTGCAAATAGATATTAGATAAGCGCTGACCATATTTTGAGGTATGCGTAACATACTTCGTCATCACCACATTCCTAAGGCATCAATTCTTTGCCTGTCAACGACTTTCATAGTCCACGTCTTTGCACTATACAGAATCGGATAGCTAGATAGATAGAAATATAGAGAAGGCAAGCGTTCGTATCAGATGCATTTTTGTTCCATTAATAATTTTCCTATCTCTCCAAATTTTATTCAGTGGGGTTATTGCTATTTTGGCCATGTAAATTCTCCTACGGATTTGCATACATTTTATTGGCATACTATTCACATAGATATGACTGGGACATTAAGTGGCAAAAGCGACAGAAAAGAAATACGCGTCAGTAATGATTGATTATGTTATCAAGTATGTCCTTTAAGAGCATACTATATCCCTCGATGCCAGTTGTACTATTAAAGCGTTGAGAAAAGCTGTTTCTCTTTTCGGTGTTCTCAAGCGAATTGTTATATCGGGGAAGGGGCTTTGTAAGCGCGGACTTTAGAGAATTGAGTAAAACACCTCGTATAGAACTTTACTTTATAACAACAGGGGCAAATAAAGCCAACGGTCAAGTAGAAAGGGTCATGCAGATTTTAAAATGTCTGCTAACTATTATAGAAAACGATACCCATAAAACGTGGCGTGACAAACTTCCTGAGGTACAAGGGACGAAACCGCTTAGCATTCAATGGATTCACCGTGCGGGTGCCGGGTCCATCGCGTTGCAGGGAGGGGAGCTTCAGCAGTGCCTGGGACTTGCGACCCAGGTGTGGGTTTAAGGGGCCCCTTAACTAACGCGCGTTGTACGCTCACCTCCACTGTCCAAGTTCCTCTCCCTACCTGGCCAAATTTGGAAGGAACCTGCTAGGGCTGCTTTCGACGTACGTTCCGAGAATGAATTAATGTTGGTTCTGGACGGGCCCAAGTCTTTTAGTAGGTTGTAGAGAGATTTGGCTGTTATGCCTCTCGCTCCCACCTCTA